TGCTTTGAGCCCCATGGCTGCCAAGAAAATGAACATCAGCTTTTGGTCCTCTGAGTAGAGTGGCTTGCTTGACAGGGAACACAGACAATCCAAGGCCTTCCAAGGACATGAAGGAAAATGGTCAAAAAGATGGAAAAGTGAGGCTGTGGGGCCTGCAGCAGAGAGAGCCACCTGAGTACAGCCAATGCTTTCAAGGATGAGGATGGCTCTGCCACCGTCCGGCTCCTGGAGCACAGCTCAGAACCTCAGAAGGGCAGATTGCAGCAAAATATAGGAAGAACTCCCTTTGTTTACCCAGCAAATGGGCCAGACCAATTTGGCAGGTAGATGTTGTACTTCTGTGACTGAAGTGAACACTCGGGGAAAGGGCCGGTGGGCTTTAAATGATGACTGACCACACGAGCCATAGACTAGGGGTCTGGAAGTGTGGCTTCAGCTTCAGTGTCCATGGCCTATAGGTGCCACTTGGTTTACTTATGATTGTGCATGAAGGAAAGGGTATGTGTCATAGATGGATAGTCAGGGACCTGCACAGGATCTGGTGGTCGCCATCTGTGTACTCACACTCAGTCACCAGGTAGAATGGTACCTGGTCTCCAGAAATCCCCTTAGGCCCCCCCTCGGCCATCCTGTCTGTAAAGGAAGCCACTTTCCCTGTGATCTTCCATCTTTCTGACACATTTGCCAGTTTCTGAAAACCACCGGAGATGAGCAGGTTCCTGTGAGGCGGCATCCTGTGTTTGCTAGCGCACATCTCGGGGACAGCTCCCTGGCAATGTGAGTGGTTGTGGCCTGACCCTGCCATGTGGCCATCCATTGCCTGGGCCAGTGTCACCGTACCCCGCTCTTCCAGTCCACACTGTGTGTGCCTTCTCCTCCACTCCCATGTGACTGTTCAAACACCTGATAATCAGGCTGCATGATGGCCATGGGCTTGCAGACACAGGCAGAGCGGGAGTCCAAGTGGCAGGAAAGACTCCACCAACTGCCTAGCTCACACCCTGGTTCTTTCTGCCTGGGGAGCAAACACATTTTAGATGATTTCCATCGGGGACCAAGGATCCAGGGGGCTGGCAGGTGTCTGCAGCCCTGGAGATGAAAGCCCATGCCAGACACCATCCAGCAAGGTTCAGGCAGCATTTCTGTGGAGGAGCAGGCAGAGGCTGCTGTCTCTTGGGCTGCCCTGGACACATAGGAGAAGGCAGCTCATGCCTTTGGCCAGATGCCTGGTAGCCTTTTAGGGCAGTTCAGTCTCAGCAGGGCCTGGTTCCCTTTGAGGGAGTAAAGACAGAGCGGTAGGGGTGGTGCTGTACTGGCCTGTGTCTTTCCTAACATCCAGTGGCACGCACTCTGCCTTCCTGGATGCTCCATCCTGTGTGAGGACTGCCGAGACTGACAGTCTGGAAGCAAACTGCCTGAGCCCTCTGTTTGCCCTAAGCTTAGAAAAGAACATTGTTTCCTATTTTTCTTGTGCCTTGGGAACCTCAGTGTGCTGATCCAGTGTCCTGGTCTTACACAGACTTCTTGGAGGTGGGCGGGACAGAGACCAAGGCTGGCCTGGCCTGGTGTGGCCTGAGCACAGTGTTGGAACCTATTGCCTTATATGACAGCTGCTGGGAGGGCTCTGGGTGACTTCTGCATCTTTCTTTGCTTTCCCGGTTTGAGTTCTGGAAAAGCTTTGCCAGGTAGGGTTAGGTAATTTCTGTGGAAAAAGAGCCCACAGCCTGGGCAGGGCCTTCTGCTTGCCCCCTGCACAGCTGCAGTGGTACTTCGGGTGGGTCCTCTGTGCTTTTTCACTTGTAAACTCTCCATCTGTCAAATTAAAAACTGCCTACACACACACACACACACACACACACACACACACACACACACACACGTAGACACCGGTCCTTGTATCTCACTGGGACTGGGTGTTCAGGAAGGGGTGTCAGGAAGGCTGTGGCAGCAGACAGCAGTGCCAGCTTCGGGGACCTGTGGGTTCCTTGCATACACTCACCCTCTGTCAGGATTGCCTGCTGTTTTTTTTTTGTTTGTTTGTTTTTTTCAAATTGCAGCTCTGGTATGACCCCTACCGCACCCCAAACACTCATCCACCTCTTCCCTTCTGGATCCACCCTCCAGTATTGTTGTGAGGCCTGCCAGCTCTGGCCCTCTCCCTGGCCGGCCCCTCCCACCCTCTGTGGGCCTTGGTGTGTGGGGGGGATTAATGAAGCCCAGATGCAGCTTCTGACTCCAGCAGTAAGTTTTGTAGCATGGCAGCGGCAGCTTGGAGGAACCATTTACCTCCCACTGTGTCTGGGCCCAGCTGCTCCTGGATCCCCAACCCCAGGAACAGCTGGAAAGCAGGTCCTAGCTCCAGGAAGGCCACAGAGCGTGGAGTGTGTGATGAGGAGTTCAGGCAGGCCTGGAGTGGGGACATGGAGGATCGGAGAAGGGCTTCTGGCCCTCCTGTGCTCAGCTCGGATGGAAGCTGCCTGTCAACAACTCTGCAGTGCTCAGGGGGCCGGGGAACTCTGGTAGCCCCAGCACACCTCTGCACAGAAAGGTCATGGCCAAAGCCAGACAGAATTCTGTCTTCAAACATGGGGAGGGGTGGGACGCCTGGGTTCCCTCTTAGTTGCCAGATGCAATACAAATACAATCCAAAACCTTAAGAACAAAACAAAACAAACAGAAAGATGGAAAGCCAGACAGGTTCTTTATCTGAAAATTGTTCTTAACAGGGCAGCCTGTGTTTTAGTTTGCTAAGCCTGACAAGCCGAATCTCTTAGTGTGATGGCTTTATTGAACCATGATGTACAGACCGTTGAACATGTGATTCAGGGGAGCTCTTGGAGTTTTCACAAAAGTGGAGCCTGGCCACGCCCCAAGGTCACAGGACCCTACCTCCTCCTGCACTGAATGTAAATGATCACGCTGAGTTCCTTTTGTAGTTATCATCCCACACACAGCAGAGTGAAGATGTCATGTGCTGCATAGATACAATCTAGTCAGTTTATTGGGGTGTTCTGCTATGGGTCCTCTTCTCTGTACCAGTGAACAGGGGAGCGATACTGCAGAATTGAGGGTGTAGGTATGTATGTCCTCAGTAAATCTTTCCAGTTTTTCAAACAGACCATGTCCCCTCCTGTCAGCTGTACGAGCACCCCAGGGGCCTCCACCCTGCTCAGTGTGGCCATGGCCTTTCAGATGCTTACCGTCCAGGCTGCTACTGCTCTCTCCAACCAAGGGCCTCCTGCTTTGTTACTTCTTCTGAGTTTTCTGCTACTTAAGAAAAATCAACAAAGCCTACAGAGCTCAGACCCTTAGTCCCCAGCATCCTGGAAGCTTGGAGGAGGTCTGCTTCAGCACTTCATCACTAAGGCAGGTGAGGCCCTGGGAAACTTGCTCCGGAGCCATCAGTACTAGCGCATTGACCAGGCTTAGCCCTCTCTGCTAGCATCTGCCACATTCCACAGCTAGTCTTTTTGATCCTGTGGTGTCTTTCCAGGGATGTGACTGAGGGCACCTGTCGGAGGTCTGTCCAGCCACGTTACCTACAAGCATCTCTCCTCCAGGAATCCAATCCCAAACACATTTAACCAGGCTTTCACTTCTCGGACTTCCTGCTTCTTCTGCTCGTCATTTGACTTCCTGGCATGCTTTACATCTGTAGCACTGAAACCCAATTGGGATTCCTTCCGAGAGGGTTACTCAGTACCGTGTGGTGGCCACACACAAGCCACTCCAGAAGACAGAATGAAAGTCTGTGGCATGGCACCTACCTGGCATGCATAAGGCCGAGGGATCCATCCTTGTTGGAATAAATAAATCCATCCACAGGGCTGGCTGGCCGGGGCCACTGTGTGGAGACACTGGAAGGGCGTGTTGCAGTCCCCCCATCAAGGCTGGCCTTACGGAGCAGCGGCTTGGAAGGCCACTGAGGAGGTGTGTGTCCTGTCGCCTAGTCTCCAGGATCCCAGGACAACTTCCAGACATCTTCCGGTCTCTCTTTTTATTCCTCTCCTCTTTACCTCCCCAAGTACTTAAGGGCCCTCGGACACAAGAGTAGACATCGGCAGCCCCGCTGGGGCCTTGGTTCCCGAGCGGAAGGTGGCTCAGTCCTGAATAAGCTCCAGCTAAGCTTTGCCTTATGGCTGGCCTCAGATGCCCAGCTCTGCTGAATAAAGTGGGAGGCCTTGTGCCAACTCACAGCAACAGTCTCGGAGCGAACGGTCTCAGAGCTGGGGCTGGTGGCTTCAGGCGCTTCTTGGGCCTCTGTCTCACTTGTTCCTTTGCTGGCCTACCTGATGGGAGACAGGACAAACCGCACTGGAAGGTGACCGCCTGCCACATTAGCTGTCCCACGGGGAAGTTACACTCTCTTAACTGCCCCTCGGAGACCCAGGGGCTACTCCAGAGCTCATGTCACTCTGAGGCCCAGCCTGGCAGCCTGGATTAGGCTAGCATAGTAGTAGGGGAATCCCAAAAGAAAGTTCAACAACAACAAAAAAGAAAACAATAACGCTTGGTCTCGAGAGGCCCATCACGCCCCCTGCTTGAAGTCCTTTGAAATCTGAGAGCGTGCACACTGAGCAGGACCAAGAGACCAGAGAAGGGTGTTCTTCTTCTGGTTGCCTTTCCTTTCTATTCCCCCTCTATTTGCATATTTTCCTCCTCAGCTTTACCCCCTTCATCACCACATTTTTCTTCCTAGATTATTGTGTTGTTTATGGCTCAATCCCCAGGGTCTCCTGTGTGCTCTGCTTGACCACTGAGCCACACTGGGTTTTGTTTCTATCCCTGTGCTTTTATTACGCAAAGGTAGGAATGTCGATCCTTTTCAGGTAGGCGGGTCACCACACAGATCCACAGGCACGTACAGCTCTGAGGGGTACAACACCAAGGAAAAATGTCTTCTCTCTTGGATAGCCTTCTTTGCCTGTGCTTTCCGGAATGTTTGGAGTCCCCTGACCTCCAGCCTGCCCCACTCAGGTTTTCTTGCTCTTCTCTCCCAGGCAGCTTAGGAGCCAGCTGAGCCTCATGGTTATTGCCCGGATGCTGGGTCAGCAAGAGGCACTTCCTCTCTCGGGAGAGAAGACGCAGGTGAGCCCGCCGCCACAGCAGGACCAGGAAGGCTTCTGGTGGGACCCCTCTGCCTATAGCCTGCTTATACCTAAGGTAGAATCAGAGAGGCCGTCCTCAGCCTAAGCTGGATTTGAATGTTTTTACTCAAATTTGTTTGTTCAGCAGTTACTGGGGCCAGGACCATAGTTCAGTGGTAGAGCACTTGCCTAGCACGTGTGAGGCCCTGGGTTCTGTGATCAGCATGGCACCAGAACAGTGGTGTGAGCCTGTGTTTCCAGCTGCCGAGGACACAGAGAGGAAGATTTCTTGAGCCTAGAAGTTAAGCGACCAGCCTGGCAAGGCGGATGTGATAGCGCACACCTTTAGTCCCAGCATTTAATTTTAGCATTCTAAAAAAATAGTACTGTTTGCCCAACTACAGTCTGTGTCCTAGGCGCTAGGACTGATGTCTGAGTTTGGAGCTTGTATTATTGTGAATTATGGTAAAACATTTCAATGCTTTTTTTAATTTTTTGGGTTTGTGTTGTTTGTATTATTTGTTTGTTTTGCCAGCTTTTAGTTTGGTTTAGCAGCAGTCTCCCAGCTCCTCCTGCCTCAGCCTCCAGAGTGCTGGAATTACAAACATGTGCTACCACCCAGCTTCATCTGAAGTTATGTTGTTGTTGTTAGTATTTTTATTCTTTGAGAATTTCAAATATGCATGCAACATACTCACCCTCCCACTCTTTCCCCTAAGGGCCACTAGGTAAGTCCTAACCCCCATTCCCCTCCTAAGTCCATGCATAGCCCATGTACGCACTGATATAGGACAGCCACAGGCCTTGGTCTCCTCCAGGGACCACACCCTGGAAGAGCCCTGACAGGCTGAGAATGGTGGCTCAACAGGAAGAGTTCTGGCTGCACTTACAGAGGAGCAGAGCTCCGTCCCATCATGTGGGGCCTTCCCAGTCTTTGCTTTCCTAGTTCCATGACTTTTTATAGACAGAACAATAAAGATAGAAAGAAATACTGTTAAAGCCTACAAGAGCCCCCTAGTCCAGGGCTAGGCATCCCTGGGGCAGCAGGGCTGAGGTTCCAAGGATAAGCTGAGGAAGTTGAAAGCCACTTGCCTCACCTAGGGATCTCCCTGGAATCCTTGCAGTTTCAGAGTCAACACCAGAGGACAGGTTCACAGGCAAAGGTCTGCTCAGCACATCCTCAGGCCAGGGAGTGCAGGAGCCACACGCAAGCTTTTGTGCGGGAGTTGAGAAAGGTATCTGCCTGGGTAGGTTGGAAGGAGGGGTCTGAGCCTGGCTCATGCTTCAGCCCCTCCCTCCAGCCCTGACACTTTCTTCCTAGTATGGCAGAAGCATGTCATTCCCACTCTGGCTGACATGTCACTTCAAGGAGGCCTACTGGCCTTGTCTGTCACCCTCACTTGGCTAGTGTCCTGTCATGTTTCCCATACTCCTATTCCCAGGCAAAATCTGGGGCTCGGAGAGTCGGAAATCAGTTGTGTCTGCTTGCCCTCCATTGCCTCTCAGCTCGGGGGTCTGGCCCACAGCAGGAAGGCAGTGTAATGCTTGTCTGACACCAAGGAGAGGATGGTCTGCAAGCCATCACTGGGAGGAGATGACCCGCCCCCACCTCCCCACCCCACCCCTGTGAGGTCTCTGCAGTCACACTGAAGGAGGGAGAGCAAATGGATAGGAAGTTAGGAGTGAGCACGAGCCCCTGAGACATGGCATGGCAGCCTGATAGGAAGGCATTGGCTTTGACCGGATGCACTCACTGAGCCCCAAAAGGACTGACAGAGGAGGAGGAAAGTCAGGACTCCAGGGAGGGTAGGTCCCTGGGGCCTGTTACCCAGAAGCTGTGTTAACAGTGACCCAAAGGTGAGGTCCCTTCAAGGCTTGGTAGCCTTTGTTGGACTGAGGCTGCAGGGAGAGTGAGGGGAGCCACAGGGAGGGAGGTGAGTTAGGGAGCTAGCTCAGGAGTCTCTGCAGCAACTAAGAATCCAGGGTCACCAGGCCTGTGAGGCAAGCAAGCTTCCTAACTGTAGGTCCTTTCACCTGCCTGCTTGTGACCACGTGGGCCCATTTGTGTAGCTGTCTGCTCCTTAGACACTGACTAGGCGACTCATATCCCAGGCTCAGCCTCAGACACCAGGTGTGATGGAACCAGACAACCCCTTAAGAGGGGTGAGCCAGCTAGCTGTGACCGGGGTGACTAAGGCTGCCTGAGGCTAGGCTTCTGGAGGTCTTAGAGGATGAGTCTATGCTTGCTGGGTGTACTGGAGTACAAAGAGTGAGGACACAGAATCCCGGTGGCTCTAGACACAGGAAGGCCCACAGGTCTGCTTAGACCCTGCTGCTAGTCTCATCCTGGTGTCTGGTCACTGCTCTGGCCTGTTAGACCCATCTTCCTCATACTTGCCTCCCAAGAACCACCTTGTGTCCCCACAGCCACCATGACACCTCCACCTGACCTTCTTCCCAATCTCTCCTGTAGAAGCAGAGGCCTGGGGTTTGAAGTGAGAGGGATTCTCAGTACCCAAGCTGCTCAGCCTCCCTCTGCCTCAAGCCACAGCCTGAGCCCCAGGAGCAGGACAGAGTTGGAGAGCTGTCTCAGACAGCAGGTAGGCAGACTGCATGAACCCAGCACTTGCAGTTTCCAGGAGAATCCCAGGGTCGGACCAGAAATTCCTGTTGTTTCATCGAAGACTGGGAAGACTTCAGAAACAAACCCTGTTTAGCCTCAGGCCCCAGTTCGCTCTGGAGTCTGGTCTGGGCAGGAAAGAGCTGAATTGAATGAAGTTCCTCTCCTGTAACAGTCATAGTCCAATCAGGCCAACAGAGGCACCAAGAAAGAAGTAACATTTGGTGTGAACTTGCAGGGAATGACAAGTGCTCTGGAGAAAAATAAACCCAGAAAGGGGAAAAACAGCCTTGGGTAGCTGCAGTTGTGTAAGGACATTGTGCACAGAGCTGTAGGAAGCAAGGTTGGGGTGGGGGTGAGGGGGTCAGAGGAAATAGCAAATACAAAGGCTCCGCCAGGCCTCAGTAAAGGACATTTATGTTGGAGGGAAAGCAAAAGCAAAGAGGCTGGTATGACGAGAGCAGAGGGCTGAGGGTAGAATGCAGAGTCTCAGAGAGGTAAATGAAGTCTCCATGGTCGGACTGTAAGGCCATGGTGAGGCCTTTGGCTTTCAGGCAGAGAGGAGAGACAAAAACTGAACTGTAAAAACTTGAAAGCTGGTTGGCTGCTGTGTTGAGACTAAAGTGGGATGAAGCGAGGAGGGTGATCCTGTCCTTCTGCAGGGCAGTCTGCCCGGGGTGACAGCAGCAGAGGTGGGTAGTGGCCAGATGCCAGGTCACTTCCCAAGGACAGCAAACAGGGCTGGAAAAGAAAGCGGTGGGAGTCCTCCAGGAAGTAGACGTGAGGGAAGGAGGCATGCTTTCTCCAGCCAGGCCCGATGCAGGCGGAACAGGTTTGGGAGGAAACCAGGGCTTTGTTCCTTATACCAGCCTCTTGCAACATAGAAACAAAGCAAACCATTTTTTAAATACACATTTATTTATTGTGTGTGCGCACACCTCAGTGTCCAGGTCAGAGAGCAGCTTGCAGGAGTCCGTCCTGTTTTCTCCTTCCACAGTGCTGGTTCCAGGGACCAAACTCAGGTACTCAGGCTGGGCAGCAGGAACCTTCGCCCTCTAAGCCCTCCTGTCCACATCCACCCACTGCTTGGAAACTTGCTCTGAAGCTGTTTGGTCTTGAACTTGAGGTCCTCCTGCATCTGCTTTACAAGCCCTAGGTGTACAAGTATTGTCATGTCTGGTAGCAAACCACTTTGGTAAAATGTCTTTGTCTTTTTTTGAGACAGGGTTTCTCAATGTAGTCCTGGCTGTCCTGGAACTTGGTCTGTAGACAAGGCTGCCCTCAAAGTCAGAGGTCTGTCCTCCTGCCTCCCGAGTGCTGGAATTAAAATGTGTGCCACCACATCCAGCCTCAACTTAGGTCTTGAAATTTGGAATGCAAGGGCAAACAAAAGTTTGAATCTCCTAGGAAATGGTTAAAGCCCTAACCTGCTATTTAGCCATTCATTTGCCTAATGGATACTTAATAAACACCAGCCATGTGCCAGGCATGTGCTTGGCCTGTGGACACTGCGGGAGACACTGCTGGCCTCATAGCCAGGGAGGGGCTGATAGGAAGCCAGTGCACAGAGCAAGTGAGGTCTATGTCCGGGAGAGGGTAGGTGATGCTCTAGGGAACAGACGTGCAGGGTAGGGGACTGGCAAGAGTGGTAAGCGCAGGTGGTGTAGGTGTGAGTTAGATATGACAGTGGACTGGGCACAGGGAGAAGGCAGTTAGGCAGTACCCTCCTCAGAAGCTCCTCTCCTCAGAAGCCCCTCGAGGGCCCAGGCTCCAGAGAACAGCAGCAGGTCACTTGGAACTTCCCAGCGCTTCACAGCCACCTTTCCGGTACAAACTGGAGCCACTGCCAGGATCTGAGAGCAGGAGCCACATGCTGTGTAGACAGTTGCTTTGCCAGGATCTCTTCTGCCTCTTCCTGCCAGGAGCCTGGCAAGGCCAGTGGAGGCCTGTCCTTCTGGGTGATCATCACTTCTTGCCCTGAGGTGCCTGCCCTAATGGGGCTGAGTGTTTGCTGAGTTGGCGATCAGCAGTGGAGGTAGGGGTGGGGGTGGATAGTCTGGTCCGGTCCTGACTCTTTATCTAGAGGACCTTTACGACCTAATCCAGGAGGGAGGGTGCTATGTGGGGGCAGGGCCATGCGAGAAACAAAAGGGAATCTGAGTCCAGATTGCAAGAGTGTACTGAGGCACCACCAGCCTGCTTTCCCGGAGTGAGAGGAAAAACCCAGCGGGAGCAGTGAGCTGGGTCTGCACTTTCCCTGCCAGCCCTGCCCCCAACTTAGAGCAGGGAGGGTCCTGGCTCTCCTGAGGTGGGCCTTCAGTCACCCTGGGAGTTGCGGACTTGGAGGCAGGGTGGGGCAGCCCTGTGCTTGCACAGCTGTGAGCCTCCAGCGAGCTAAAGGCCAGGGCTGTTTTGAAAATTATCCCCAGACTCGACAGGCTGGTGCAAGGCAGTGCCTCGGCGCCGCCCCAGATGGAACCCATCTCTGCCCAGACCATTCCCTCTGTTTCGCTGCCTTCTTCCACTTTGTAGAGAAGGACTGGCCTCCTTCCAGGAGCCAAAGCCAGCCAGACTCCTAGCCCCTCACCCGCCTCCCCCCTGCCCAGCTGCTCTCCAGGGCTTCTGAGGTTGAGGGCAGCTGAAGTGCTGAGCAGGTGCTAGGGGGTGAGTCACAGGAGGAAGCCAGGTGGAGTGCGCCACCCTGCTGGGCGCAAGCGGGGCGCAGGCTGGGGGCTCAGCCTCTTGCTGTGGCCAGGCTGCACCTGCTAGATCTAAGGAGCCGGTCCTCTTGAACTGCCGTGCCCGTGCCCCTTCATCCACATCCTCCCCCATCCCTTGGTTTGCACGTGGATGACTTAGCGGGGCTAGGCCTGCCTCTACCCAGCCATACCCCAGCTCTGGGCAGTCCTTGCTGGTGCCCTGTCTAGACTGCCCAAATCCATGTGTAGGGTGACAAGGGGGAGGGGCTTCCTTCAGAGGGGTTGGGCAGTTTCTTCAAAGCTAAACAGGAGGTGGAGTGCCTGGTAGATTAACACATGACCAAATCCCTGTGTAGACCTTATGGGGACTCTCCGTGTAAACAGACCAACTGAAAGCATGTTTCTGAGGCTCAGAAAACTGAACAGAGATATTGGATGAGAAATAATTATTGATCATTTTGTTAGACAAGAAAAATAGTACAGTGTTTTAGTAAAAGGAAAAGAAGGCTGGGCCAGGCACACATCTAATACTCAAAAGGCAGAGGTAGGAAGATTGCTAGAAGTTTTGAAGCCAGCCTAGTCTACATAGGAAGCTCCAGTCCAGACAAGAGCCGTGGCAGGCAGGACCCTCTTTAAAAATAAAATGTGCTAGTGAAATGGCTCATCACTGTAGAGGCATTTGGCCACCAAGCTTGCAGCCTGAGTTCAGTCTCCAGAACATATAATAGTTTAAAAAAAGAAAATAAGGAATGATAGACCTAGTGGTGCATGCTTGTGATCCCAGCGCTCAGAAGGCAGACTGCACCGGGGCACAGGGGTCGGCCCCGACACAAGGGGAGACCTTATTTCAAACACACAAATATGCTGCTGCTGACATGTGGGCAGCTGCATGAGGGGACGCTCCTCTACTTCTTTATGGCCTAGAAGGCCCAGTATTTGGAATCCCTGAGAGGGAAAGGAGTATGGTTCAGATGAAGAGGAGTTAGGGACAGGCAGGCAGAGCAGTTGTGGTCATGGCTCACAGAGGGGACAGGCATAGCTGAGGTCACATGGTCCTCTTCCTGGGGATGGAACATGTCACAGCAACAAGCTAAGTGACAAGAGAGAGATGCAGGGGAGAGTGTTGCTGGCTGAAGGGCAGCTCAGGTGGCTGAGGGAATCTCCTTACTCTTGCTTTTCCAGCGAATTAGAGCAAACCCTTAAGCCTCAGGAGAGCTTCCTAATTCATGAAGTTAAGGGCTGTTGGCCCTGTGCTAAGCACTGTGTGTGCTCGTGTGTGCATGCATGTCTGTGTCTGGGTGGTCGGGTACTGTGCACTCATGCCCGTGCATGGGAGTGTGCTCGGAAGAAGGGGTGTGGACCATTTTGGGGATAAAATACTCAAGGTCTAAGAGGTCACAGAGCTCATAATGAGAGGTGGATTCAGGTCCTGGACCCTGGGGCTGTGACCCTCTGTCACAGGTGAGGGTGGCTCCCAGAGCACTTATGCACGCACTCAGTCGAAATCTCCTTTCTCCTCCCCAGCTGTCCTTGCTCAGCCAGCTTCTCAGCCTCATGAGGCCTTCATCCCTCAGGCAGTGTCTGGGCGCTGAGACCTTGCCATCCTGTCCAGGGCAACAGCCAAAGGCTAGTACTGAGCTAGACCACAAGGTGAGCATGCCAGCCCCTGCCTGTCTTCACCAACAACCTGCTACCCCAGTTAGCGGGGAGGGTGGAGTTGTCCCCATTGCATAGCCTTTGGGACCTGTGGCTGCTAGTCCTTCCAGAACCACAAGCCACTCAAGGCCAGAGGCCAAAGGCTGCCTTCTGTGTGGGGAGGAGGTGCTGAGTATCCCTCCAGAGCCCTTAATTAGCACCTGTGCCCACCTGTGCGTGTAGGCGCAGGTGAGGCTGTGGGCCTAGGCATACCCACAGAGCTTTGCCCAGCCTCTCTGTCTAATCCCACTAATTTTGACGACGGCTTAGCCTTTGACCGTCCCTCAGTTCTTCCAAGCGTTGGCCCCCTTTCCTGAAAGCCAAACTTTGGTGCGAATCAAAGGCAGTGAGGTACCCTTTTGGCAGGTTGCGGGTTAGTAACAAGAGGCCTGTACATCCCTGGTGTTGGTGTCAGAGCAGGACCAAGGTGGGTGTGGGGCTTCCAGGTGGATCTCCTCAGGCTCTTCTATGAGGAGAGACTCAGGATGAAGACTAGAGATAGGGATCTTCTAATCAGGAAGGCAGGGTTCAGAGATCTCTCTCCTGAGGCTGAATGCTAACAATCCAGCAGTCCAGCCATGGGCATCCTTCTGAAAATCAGATAAGTGAATTAATTACCTAATGAACACAAATGAACCATTAAGAAGATAGGATAATCCCTAGGTGCATGCTCCTCGTCCAGGGCCTGCAGGGAGCATCGCCCTTGCCTTGGGATTCCTTGCTTTTGCAAGGGCTGCAGGTTCCCAGGAAGGCAAGTGCCATCTGCACATCCCTTTTCCTCTGTCAGGCATTTCCCAAGGAACAGGAGTGGGTGACACAGAAAGGAGTTGTGGTCAGCCCTTGGGTGGGCAGTCTGTCAAAGCTGGATACTAGAGGCCTAGGGGTAACAAGGAGTATAGGCAAAGGAAGGCGAGGCTGCTGTCTGGACTGGCTGAGTGGAGACTGTATGGCCTCTAGGAAGGAGTCTTGTAGGCCTGGCTACAGCCAGCAGGGGTGTGGCTCCTACAGGGCCCCAGGCTTCCACTGGGCTCACCACATTTCTGACCTGCTGGTAGCAGTGGCAGAAGGTGTCTGTGTAGTACTCACTGGGGGGGAAGGTAAGCAAGCTGAGGAATCCTTAATTCTGAAGGCTTCGTGCAGAGCTCCCGTATTAGAAATTATCAGTTTTGCCTCTAAACTGGGGAAGAGGAGCTTAGTGCCCCCGACAGCCAAGAGTGTTCTGTTGGGGACAATAGTAAAAGGCAAGCAGGACAAGGGCAGCTCCCAGAACCCCTGCAGTGCTGCAGCCAAGACCATGCAGAGCCTCTGGGTTCCCCTTCCCCTTGAAGTAGCTAAGGGCAGAGGCAAGCAGGGGAAGGGATGGGGGGGGGGGTAATGGGGGGAGGTGCGGGAACTTGTGGATTGGCCGGTAGAGAGAAGTGTGAAGTGGTTCCAGTCCAGTGCCCTGGGCTGAGTGTTGTGGCTGGGAGGGGCCGGGCCAGGCAGGTGACTGGGTCCCACACCGCCTCAGCCAACTGACTCCTCATTAGGCCTGAGCATGTTTCATCTTCAAAGATGTGATGGGCTACTCACCAGCCAAAATGAGCAGCGGCGTCATCCGCCCTGTTTTACGGGGAGTGGTGGTCTGGGATGGGGCAGCCTTTCATCCCCAGAGCTCAAAGTCTTTGCTGTTTTGCTTCTTGAGTGCAATGGGGAAACTGAGGCCAGAGTTCAGGTCACTTGGAGGTGATCATGCATGAAGGAGATGGCTTCTCCTCTGAGGCTGCCATGCTGAGCTTCTGCCTATCCCACGCTAAAAGCACTCCTGTCTGTCTGGGAGATTTCCTGGCCTAAACTGCAGGGGTCATAGCCCTCCTCCAAACCTGCAAATAAACAGTCTGCAGGCTCTTCTTCTGCTCTCCCCACCTCCCTGCTCTGCTTCAGGCTGACTAACCTCCCTCCCTCCCCCAAGGAAAAGATTAGGGCACAGCGTGGCTCTGCTGTTGTCCCTTTGCAGGTCTGGCTGTCCAGCTGGATTGTGGGCACAGCTGTGTATCTCTGCATTGCATGTTTTTTTGCCATTAAATGAAAAATTGGAAAAATGAATGTATTCCATCCCTCTCTTCCTTTGTATTCTCTGGCTATCTGCTCTCTTGCCCCCGTTTTGAAACTGCCCTCCCTCTGCCCTGCCTTTAACCAGGGGCAGCCCCCTGCTCTCTTAATATCCTTGTATCATTAAGACCACAAGCATTTACGGAACCCTGGACTTCAGAAGTATTACCTTGGGTAATGAGAGAACCAATCACAGGGCATTGTTGGTAATTATAAGTTAGTGAGGTTCCTGCCTGGGAAAGCTAACCACCAAGTGCTTTAACAAAAGAAGCAACTGCTCCTCCGGCTTCCACTCTGTGGGGGCAGGGAGGAGGGAGAGCTGGACTGGAGGCAGGGGCAGGCTGGGTTCCCAAGCAGGCTGTTTGTCCCAGCAGAGTCAAAGTCACTTAGCATGCTATTAGCACATACAAAAATATCCTTGGAAAACAAGTCTTTCTGCGGAGGGCTGGAGCCTAAGTCAGTAGTATCGTGATTACCTAGCCTGAGTGAGGCCCTGCTTTCAATCCTCTGCACCAAAAAGGAGGAGCTTTAGAAGAGCAGAGTACTTTGAGCATGTTAAAGTGCTGAGCTCAGTATTAGCACCTGTAGCCCAGGCTGCTCAAGAAACCGAAGCATGGAGATTCGTTCTTCAAGCCCACAAATTCAGTTCCAGCCTGGACAACATAACAAGACCCCATTTCCAAGTATTTATCTGTCGTGCTGATCTCCCTGATGGCTGTCTCTGCCCTGGGCTTGCCTGGTTTGAGCTTACCCAGAGCAGAATAAACGTCTGGATGAGAAGATGCTTGGGGCCCGCACCTCCTAGCAATAGGCAGGCCAGCCCTCCAACCTAGAACCAGGGTTTCCCGGGGCATTTGCTTTCCACAGTGTGTTATCTGTATGTGGCCAGATTTGGCCTAGTTACACTGTAGCCAGTCTCAGAGTGGGGACCCACTCACTTTGATGGAGGTGGCTGATGTTTTGGTCTTGTTAAATCTGCCGTTATGTTTCTTGTTCCTGTTTAACCACAATTTCCAAGTAATTTTCGCTTCTTCTCCCATGTCTGTTGATACGTGTATATATACGTGTATATATTATGCATAAATGTGTAGATAGGCGTGTATGTATGTATGTGTGTACACATATGCAAATATATATCCGTGCACTTTTCCCTGATATTTCTGAGGATGGTGATACCCTGTCACTTGCTAAGGACATGCTTACTGCTGAGTTACGCCGTATCTCAGATGCCATATTGATGGGTGTTTCCCCTCTCAGAGATGTGAAAGGTGTGGGGAACCAGACTCTTGATGGTTGGATGGGAGTGTCTCTCTGGTTGGGTAGATTGGAAGAAGTTAAACTGTCTCCCATTGTGGAATGAAAACTAAGACTGCGGAAGCCAACTTGGCAGTGGGAGCCTGCTCCCCCACCTCCACGCGTGTGCCTCCTCCCAGCCTGACAGTGGATGCCTTCCAAGGATGACAGTGAGGAAGGCATCGGCCAGCCAGCTGCAGGTGCACTCACTCCTGCTAAGGTTCACTCTCAGGGTGCCTGACCCCTGTGCTACAGAGGCCTGGGGAAAGCCTGTTTGTGGAGGAGCCATGTTTGTGAAGAAATGACTTTCTGGGGTGGGTGTGCTCTTGAGTTGGGTGATGCTGAGATAGGCTCCAGCCAGCGGCAACTCTGCAGAGGTGTGTGTCTGCCCAGCTTGTGCAGAGGGCGTGGGCCTGCTGTGTGTTTGTGTGTGAGTGCCCTGTGTACAGCTCCTGTAAACCCTTGCGGTGTGCCAGGTGTGTTGAGAGACTTGGTGAACAAGTTTTGCTGCTTCTTCTGCTGCAACTATAGACTGCAGCTGTCTGACCCTATGCTGGCTGACCCTGCCAAGAACTGCCGTAATGGGCGGTGGTAGTGGGGAGAGGCCAGCTCTCACTGCAGAGACAGGACAGGGTCAGCTGCCCTCTGGCATCTCTGTGCTTGCCTCTGGCCTCTCTTGCTAATACTTCCAACCCCAACAAAGAGACATGTATTCCCTTGGGCTTGGCTTGAGCCTGTGTCATCTTCAAAGACAGTCAGACCCTGGAGCCTCTCCCCTTGCCACCTTCTCACCTGAGCATGCAGTACTTAGCCTCCACATACAGCGCTGCAAAGTTGGGTCAGGACAAGGTCAGGAGAACCAGGAGACTGAATCTGGGGAGTGGAAAGTAGACATGGAGACTCCTGAGTTCTTCCCTGGCTGCTTTGTGCTTTTGTTCCATCTTCCTTCCTCCAAAATGAAGAGCATCAGCTGTACTTTGTCACAAATCTGGGGCCTCTGAGAGACTGACTGTGAAGAGGCCTTGTTGAGCTACATGCAAGTCTAGGAACCTGTAGACCGGGGCCCAGGCCCAGGCCAGCTTTGCTTGGTTCCCAGAAATCTGGCTTCTTTGCAAGAACTTGAGCAAGGCTTGCAGTGACAGGGTTAAGCCCAGGAGGCAGGGTGGGGCCCCAGGGAGCTTTTATTCAAGTCCAGCCAGGTGGAGGGTTGGTCTGCTCTCTCTTTCACCCCAGTCAGCGCTATGCTCTGGAGGACCCATTAGGGTCTCTTTCCGTGGGCAGGTGACTGCACTTGTCCTGATGTTCTTGTGGGGCTTCTTCATCACACTGTGCACTCTTGAAGATTGTCCTCCCATTCAGACCTATCAATGTCCTATTCCGGCTTTGCCACCCGAAGCCTTTGTCTGCCCTGAAGAGCAGACCTTAGCACCCTGCATGCTGATGGCCTTCGCCCTGCCTCTTCCCATCTTCTACCCCTGTCTATTGAACCCTGGGGGTTCATAACAGTTCACAAAGCCCACAGCCTGTGCGCTCCCTCAGGAACCTCAACAGAGACGTCTGTGAGGCTGGGT